AAATAAACGTTGAAAAAAAAATTAAAAAAATAATAATAATAAATTAATTAAATTCTAGCCATCCTGGTGAGTGTGAAATGACATCTCATTGTAGGGGTTTTTTGGTCAGTCTTTTAACCTTTATTTCATCTTTCATAAAGAACACAGAAGAGCAGATATGCAGTATCATTTAACGATGACTTTTATTTTTTTAACAGGTTTTTTTTTTAAAGATTTTATTTGTAAGTCATCTCTACACCCAACACGGGGCTCGCACTCACAACCTTGAGATCAAGAGTCACATGTTCTACTGGCTGAGACAGCCAGGCGCCCCCCTAATGAATATTTTTAAACTGCCGAAGTTTAGGGGCATGTCTGGCTGGCTCCCGTTGGTGATGTGAGCAACTCTTGACCTTGGGGTCATGAGTTCAAGCCCCATGTTGGGCATAGAGATGACTTAAAAATAAAATCTGGGGGTGCCTGGGTGGCTCAGTTGGTTAAGCGTCCGACTCTTGATCTCAGCTCAGGTCACGATCTCATGGTTCATGAGACTGAGCCCCACTTTGGGCTCTGTGCTGACTGCACAGGGCCTGCTTGGGATTCTCTCTCTTCTCTCTCTGCCCCTCCACACCTGGTGCTGTCTCTCTCTCTCTCTCTCTCAAAAAAATAAATAAATACGCTTTAAAAACTTTGTTTTAGATAATAAAATCTCTAAAAAGTAAATTAAAAACATAAACTATAGAAGTTTAGATTATAAATCAAAACTTTCTTTTACCTAAAACATAATAGTTATTTTCCTAATATTACTCACTAATATAGGGTTGTATAAACATTGACATATAATTCAAATACCATAAAATTCACCCTTTTAAAGTGTACAACTCGGGGCACCTGGGTGCCGCAGGTCCCAGGGTCATGGGATCGAACCCCGTGATGTGGAGCCTGCTTGAGATTTTCTCTCTCTCTCTGTCTCTTTCTCCCTGTGCCCCTCTCCCCTGCTCATGTGCTTTCTCTCTCTCTCTCTCTCTCTCTCTCTCTCTCTCTCTCTCTCTCTTCCTAAAGCAAAAACGAAAGCCAAACCAAAACAAAACAAAACAAAAAGTGTACATCTCAGTGGTTTTGAATATACTGGAAGCCTGTACCTCCCTCTCCCCTCCACCTGTTTCGCTCATCTCTCCGCCCCCTAATCATTGTAATTTTGATTTGCATTTCCCTAATGACTAATGATCGACCATATTTTCATGCGCTTATTAGCCATTTTTACACCTTGTTTTGAGAAATGCCTATTCGAACCCTTTGCCGGTTTTTTAAGTGGGTCATTTCTTTTTTATGGTCAGGTGGTAATTTGTATATTCTTTAAATCTGTACGTAGTCGGGACACTAGATCCTTATCAGATGTATGATTTGCAAATATTTTCTTCCACTCTGTGGGCTGTCTTTCCATCCTCTTGATGGACAAAAGTTTCCGGGTTCGATGAAGTCCAGTTTATCTACGTTTTTGTGGGTTGCTTGTGCTTTGGGTGTCAGAGCTAAGAAACGATGACCTGATCCAGGGTCACAAAGATGCACACACCTATGTTTTCTTCTAAGCGTTTAATTTGGGTAGATTCTGAGGGTCCTAGGGAGCCACAGAGGGTGGGGAGCAGTGGCGGGAGGTGATCTGAGTTACCTTTTAGTAACGCTCCCGCTGGCTGTGTGTAGAGAACACCTGTGGGTGGCAGTGCGTTAGCAGGAGGGAAAGAGAAGTGAGCACTGCACACATCTGAGTGGGCAGTAATGGAAGGCTGGGCTAGAACAGATTGGGAGTGGCTTTTGGACTCATGCCTGCCTCTCACACCCCCAGCCCCGGAATGGACCCCGGTCGACCCGCCTTAGCTGACAGCTTCTACGCCATTTCCTATCTCTATTATGGTGCCCTGGGAACGCTGAGCACTGTGCTGTTTGGAGCCCTCGTCAGCTGCTTGACAGGTAAGCAAGGTGTATGCCCTTCTCCGAGATCACCTTGCGCATCCCTCTGCCTCCAGGACCCACCGGGCGGGGAGAAGAGGAAGGACATTCCTGTCAGCCAAATGGCCACCGCGTGCTGGATGCATCTGCAGCCTTTATGCTGTGTCGTCTTCGGGACAACCCCGCACTTCGCAGGGCTTGTCCCATTTTGCAAAGGCAGAAACTGAGGCACCCCCTCGCCCCTTCTACCTGACTCTAGTCCCTCCTCTGCCTCCAAAACTAAGTCTTTGCTAGAGGTCGCGGGGTGGAGCTTGGGACGCTGTCCATTGTGCTGAAATCTCTTCTCATCAGGGCCTTGGCGACTCCGTGTCCCTCCTGGAATTCTGAATGCCACCGAGAAGTGGAGAGAGATCAAGAGAAATCAATAGTGATCACAGCACCTGTTCTTGCTTCCTGTGTCTCAGACTTGACACTCATCTGGGCTTTACTGAGCCCTTTCCTGTGCCAGGCGTCATTCTAGATGCTGGGGAAATAGTGAACCACACACTGGACCTGCCCAGCCACCCACTGATGTATTACATCCCCTCACTGTGTAGATGAGAAAACTGAAGCCCAGAGAAGGGCAGAGGCTTGCCAGGGCACCTAGTGGGTCATTACTGAGCCCGAGATTGGGACCCATCAGTGTCTCCCTTCCCCCTCCCTGTGCTTGGTCTCCAGTTCTCATTGCCCTGTCACTAAATACCCCCATTTCCCTCAGGCCCCACCAAGCGCAGTGCCTTGGGTCCTGGGCTGCTGTGGTGGGACCTTGCACGACAGACAGCATCGGTGGCCCCCAAGGAAGAAGTGGCTACCTTGGATGACAGCTTGGGGAAGGTCAGTCACAGGGCTGGCTCCCAGAGCAGGGGGAAGGGCAGTGAAATGACTTTGGGTACTCTGGGCATGGCCATAATTCAGGGGAGGGACATGGTGAGTCACTTTCTCAACCTCTTGTTACCTCCAGTGGAAAGCCTCCACTGACAGTTGATGTGTCTTCAACACTTTTTATTCTTCCCTTAGCAAAGACTGAGCAGCATTTCATACTGTTCATTTCCTTGTATCATTTTTACAATTATTTTCAGTCTATGGCAGGTGAAACTGGTTTGCCTTTAGGGTGTTGATGTAAAGTCCCTCCTGTAAATAAAATTACATAATTCCAAAGTGAGTCAACTTGGAGAAAATCTTACATGAGAAACACAACAGGGAGTAGGCCAACTTCAGCCAAAGCCATGTGGTTACCATGTGAATGCCCCGAATTTGGAACATGCTGTCCCTGATCCAGACCTGCCCCTGCTTTGGACTCCCTGTTTCATTTTCTCCTTTCTTACGCACTTGCTGTGTCCCCAGGCCTATTCTGGGCTGGGGTTCGAGTCCACTGTCTAGGAGGAGCAGGGGAAAGCTGAAGTGAGAAGTGAGTAGGATCTCAGCAGGTAATGAGGACAATAAAACAGGGTCCTGTGATGAGGGTGGCCTCTTGGAAGAGGTGAGAGCTAGAGCCCACAGGGAGGAGGAGCCAGCCTGCAGAAGATCTGGGGGGAGGGCACTGTTGATGGAGAGCACAGCAGGCGCAAAGGCTGAGGCCAGAAGCTTGAAAGGGGGAGGTATGGAGAGGGAAGGGATTTGGCTGGAGTGTTTTGAAAGCTCCTTCCAGCTGCTGAAGGGAAATATTTATTTTCTTGAAAGGAGAGCAGGCAGAAAGTCAGAGAGAGAGAGAGGGAGGTATGCATCCGTGCAAGCTTTAACGGCCTGGACTATAGGTCACCTGGGCATTGGGGGAGAGAAGTGGATGGGGACTTTGGAGGCAGAAGGGACAGGACTGGCTGATGCACTGACCAAGGGGACAATTGTGCAACCCTCCCCAAGTCTGTCCTTCTAGGCCCTCAGTGATCCCATCTGCGGGATGAGCTGACACAGAGCAGAATGGGGTCTCTGAATGGGATTTCTTCTCTCTCCCCTCCAGGGTGCTGAGGAGCTGCCCCCTGGAGCCAAGAGGCCTCCTGACTTCTTGCCCAGTGATGAGGACCATCCGCTCTTCCTGGGGCAGAAGGAGGTGGAGAGAGCCGGCTCCCAGACCCCCAGCAGTGGACATGACCATGGCCAGGACCTTCGGGAGACCCACCTCTGAGCCAGCAGGCAACTGACCACTGAACCCCGCAGGTTCCTGGGATGGAACCTCAGGGTGGGCCACTCCCAGGCCACAGGAGCATAGCCTCGGGCTCCGATTGGCTGGACTGTGTCCTATGCAAATGAGTTTGGGACTGAATGTCCCGCCCTACAGAAAGAGATGAAGCCCTGCCTTTAGGAGGTCATTTTATCCAGCCCCCTTCTTCCAGCCAGTCCCTAGTCTTAGGTGCTGCACCCTTGCCTGCTCCCCCAAAATGAAGCCAGATTTTTCTCCACGTTCAATGGAAAGATGTTGGAGTCCCCTCTGGACAACACGGGAAAACTCCAGGCCCAAGATGAGGGTCTGAGAAAGTCTCCAGGGCTCTCTGGAACATGTCTGAACCTTAGCAAGGATTTTGAAGGTCCTCAGGCACAACCCCCTGCACCCCATTTCACAGATGGGGAAACTGAGGTCTGGAAAGGGACAACAACTTGATCAAGGTCACAGAGCAAACTAGAGATTCATTGAGAGTTGGGCACCAGCTCTTCCTCCTTCACCTGTCTGTTTTCCTCCCTTTGAAGGGTCAGACATCATATGGCCCTTGACCTTGGGAGCAAGAAGGGAGGATAAAAGAGAAATAGTGTTTTCAATCTTCTTCTTTGCACTTGGACACTCTCCGTCGCATCTACTAAGAACCATGAGCCCCCTTCCCAGAGGAATACACTAAGGCTTAGTGGGGTTTCCTGAGGTCACACAGCGAGTTGGGTCTGGGCAGGGACAGGCCTGGGAGCTGCGTGACGCTGACGCTCCATTGCCAACATGTCACCGGTGAACAGGGTCACTTAGGTTGGGCAAACCCACGTCCTGGGGATGCTCTTGACTTTGGTTAGAGACTTACTCCATGCACATCAAATAAACGGACTTTGACGCTTGATGTTCTGTGCTCTCTGAAAAATCATTCTGGCTGTTGCCTCCGCTGTCCTCCGTCAGATCTGAGTGTGAATCTCAGGGTCTCTTGACCCAAGCCTGTGAATGAATAAACCCGAGTATTTAAAGCAACAGAGCAAGGTAATAATTGCCACATCGGGGTGCATTGTGCTGCCCTTCCTGACCGCTAGCTTCTCTCCCCTTCTGACTTGCTCTTGAAGCACCCCTTCCTCACCGCTCTTTGTGCCTGGACCCTGCCAGTCTCCACACTGTCCTTGCACCTGCGCCTTGGGGTTGCTGTGGCCTCTTGAAAGCTGGCTGCACTCACCTCTGCCCACACAGCTGCTGTGGCTCCTTTGGTCCCCAAGGGAGCATCCCCGGCTCGTGTCCATAGGGTGTCCCCAAAATTCAAGACCCAGAACCTCAGAACGTGAGCCTATTTGAAAATAGAGTCTTGGCAAGTGTACCTAGTTAGATTAAGACAAGGTCGTACTGGATTAGGGTGGGCCTTCAGTCCAATGTCTGCGTCCTTATAAGAGGAGAAGAGGCACATAGGGAGAAAGCCACGTGGACACCGAGGCAGAGATGGACACAGAAATGGACACATCTACCAGGCAAGGGACACCAAGGATTGTTGGAACCACCGGAAGCCAGGGAAAAGGTAAGAGAGGGATTCTCTCCTAGAGTCTTCCGAAGGAGCACAGGCTGCCAACATCTTGATTTTGGACTTCTGGCCCCCAGAACCGTGAGAGAATAAATGTCTATTATTTTAAGCTATGACAGCCACAGGAAATTAACACACGCTTCCAGATCTGGTCTCTCTCCACCCCTCAGAGACCTGGCCCTCTGTACAGGCTGTTTTCCGGAGACCTTTGGATTTGGACTTAAAAGGGACCATTACAAATTTCAAACCAATGACTGAGCAGCACGGGAAGCGGACTTTCCACCGGTTGGTGGTGTTTGCTCAGAGCACAGCCCAACGTGGGGGTGAAAGAGGCATGAGGGGCTAAGGCAGAACAAGCTGGTCTGAGGTTTTCGAGATCCAGCCAGGCTGGATGTATCAGGAGTTCGTTCCTTCTCATTTTGCTGAAGCTCAAGCCACAGCTCGTTCATCCATTCACCGTGTCAGCCTTGAAAACAAAGCAGTCCGTTATTTTACCAGCAGAATGGGCTTATTTGGGAACGGCAGAGGAATTGCAATTCGGGACTCGCAAGCTGTGGCCGAGTCTAGAAGACAAAGGAGCGGAACATTACTTTGTAGAGAAAAAGAAGGAAGTGGGGAGGGGTTGGGGAAAAGTGAGGGTTCAGGGTGGTGATGGTTTCTCACTGGCGGTTCCTCCTGCAGGGGTGGTAGAGTAAGCTCCTTCCTGCTGGAAAATGCAAGGTGGCTTCTTCCCCTTGAAGGGCCGCCCGCCATTGACAATGAGTTGGTAAGGCGTCAGAGCGCCCTCTTCTGGCCTCCCAACTATTTTAAACGCAGTTTCCCTTTCCGTTTCACATCCGGTTAATGAACACTTGGGTTGTTTCCATCTGGGGGCTGTGACAGATAAAGTTGCTGTGAACATTCACATACACGCCTTCGTGTGGACCCTGCTTTCATCGCTCTTGGTTAAATACCCAGGAGTGAAATGGCCAGAGTCTACGGTGAGCGTGTGTGAAAGAAACTGCTGAACTGCCAACAACGTGGAAAGAGTTCCAACTGTTCCATATCTTCACCAGCACTTAGTATGGTTCATCCTTCTAATTTTGGTCATTCTCGCGGGTGGTCTACAACCACGGTCTTGATTTATATTTCTCTAATGACTAATGGTGTTGAGCATCTTTTCATGTGCTTGTTGCTTATCCATGTGTTTTTGGCCAAGCGGCTATTCAAACCTTTTGCCCATTTTTTAACTGCGTTGTTTATTCTCTTATTATTGTAAGGATTCCGTTTATATTTTGAATACAAGTCCTTTGTTAGCCATGTGCATTGCCAACATTTTCTCCCAGCATGTGTCTTGCATCTTCAGTCACTAAAGATGACCTTTGGCAGAGCAGAATTTGTAGTTTTGATTTATCAAAATTATACATTAACATTTTTTAAATGTTTATTTATTTTTGACAGAGAGAGAAACAGAGCACGAGTGGGGGACGGGCGGGGAGTGAG